GCGCAAATCTACTTTTCACTAATTTCATAACACCATCAAAGTAGCTTAAGGGACTAGGATTTTATGTTGTTTAGAAAAAATAAAAAAAATAAAAATGTTCAATCGTTAAATCTTGTCGTTCGCCCTTTTTATATTTAATTTATTATTTTATTAACCGATTGCATTAGATTGACACAATGCAAGTGCAACTACAGAGTCTGTTGATTCTTCAGAAACCTATTTGCTTCCTGTAACAAGACCTCAACATGATTCTCAATGTGAAAGCCACAAGGTAGATACAACCTCTATATGTAACTAGTACTGGACGCATTAATAGAAGAAAATTGACGATTATTTTTCCTAATATAGAAATTAATTATTATTATTATTATTTTTTTTTTATTTTGGATATAAACAGGTTGAAGAGGCAAATGATAATCCTCCGGATCATAGCTATCCAGTTTGCTTGAACATTGTTCCGTTGCGACCCCTTGCAAGAGAACAGCTGAGGTGAAACATGTACTATAATAATTTCAATTCATATTAAACATCTTTATTTCAACTCAAACTTAGCCAGTTGAACCAAGAAAATGAGAAAGCTTTAACTAGCGTTTAATCTATTTCCAAGTGATGAATATGTAGATTTATTATCTTCTAACACTCTATAATCCTCTTTCAGTATTGATTTGAGTATCTTACTATATTCTTGTTTACAATTAAATTTTCAATAACGGTTCACATTGATAGGTTTTTTCGGCGCATAAGAGCTGCCCAAATCCTTATATAACAAGGTTTCTTCCGTCAAGTATTTGTACGATAATAGAATTTTTATGTAAAGATTTAGGCTTATATCTTCTTCAAATTAATTAGTGTTCTTATTGAACTATTGGTTTTGTTTGTTATCTTTTATTTCATGCTTTTGCATGTGTCCACATGTTTTCCACAAACATGGAAAAACTAAGAGGAATTAATTTTTATAACTATAATACATACTATAATTGTATATGATAAACATTTTAAGGTTCTTCTAATGCATACTACTCATGACATATATAAGTCAATATTAGTACAACATTCTTGTGAAGTAAGATTCTGTCTTGCGTATATGACTATTGAACAATACCATTTTAACGAACAGATCTTGCTGTCGTTAGCCGAATATGTCTATGAATGACAGTACATCTCTTTTAATGCATTACACTAATGAGTAATGTCAATACGACATACTGATGAAGTAGGAATTTTTAGTAAATTACACCATATAATATCTTGTTCCTATTTACAAATATTTTAGTCGTTAAAAACATAAAAGTGTAAATCAGTGTGCACTGATTTATTGATGGAAGTCAGATGCGATAAACATGCACTGCATGCCTTTCAAGAAGTCATCATCTAGTTGAAATGCTTGTTGATATAAACTTATTGCTCTTTATGAATAATTTTGATTCTCAGGAATAATAGAGGAAAAAAGAAATTGAGCCAAGATCGTGCACAAACACAAGGTGCACGGACTAGGGATGTGCCAAGACGGCAGAGACAAGGATACTCTGCACTAAGAATTCGAGCTGACATTATTGATCCTACAGTGGCCCGTGGAAACTCGTCAGTCTAAAAAGAATAAGGTTGATATATTATCAGTCAAGTACATTGTGTTGTAATGGGCAATTTATGATACATTGATGTGTTCTGAATTTTTTATGGGTTAAATTTCTTTATGTTTGGTTACTTTTTATTATTAAAATGCCTCAGAGCCTTAAGAAGGTCTATATCGAAGGATATTATTATAAAGGATAAGTGGCAAAAGAAGAATCCAAATAAAAGCC